TTGTCTCCCAAACTTCCATCTCCTATATTTCCATATGATGACTTCAAGCCTAACTTTAAGCCCACTCGTGTTAATGAAGCATCTATATGTCATGCATGTTTTACTTGTTTAATTTTGAGAGGTATTGTTTCCAACTTCCTGTGTCGTTGGATATGGCTAGGGCGGAGACTGTACACCCAGGTGCACTTCTTGTGTCGCCGGATGGGGACGTAGTCCTTGGGAGAGAAGAATCGTGGGAACCGGTCTTTTAGGGTGGGGAGGGTGGCGATGCATTTGAAGTGTTTTTCATGAGATCGTGTGGTTTTGTAATGACATTGATGTCGATTTTCCAGACTTGGATTTTGTGGTCTTGGTGAGCACTGAATAGTAGCTCCCTAACGACCACTAGAGACTTATGTTGGAATTAATGCACTTCCTTCATTTTCTAGGATATCTCTACTTATTACAACAGCTGTAGCTGTCCTTAATTAATTTGGTAGAGTTCCTATGCAATGTCTTTTAGGTTCTCTAGGAAGTATTCTCTAGAATATTTGTAATCTTTAAAAAGCCTTTGAGCTTATCATTGTAAACAGAAGCTAAGTGAATCAGAATACAAAGAGCTCTCCTGAAGCAACTCATATTTCCAGCACTTCATATTTCATTACAAAACCAACAACTGGTATCAGAGCAATGTTCGATCATATCTGGGCGTTGAGATCAATTCTTGAAGATGTCATCAGGAGCCAAAGAAGGTCCATCCTACTATATTCTCCCAATCTTTGGAGGTGAAAATTATGATTTCTGGAAAGTGAAGATGAGAACTATACTGCTATCAGAAGGACTTTGGAGCTTCATTGAAAGAGGGCTTCAAGAACCAGAGAATCTAAGTCAGCTTCCAACAGCAGAAGTAAAGAAATTTGAAGCAGAAGTCATGAAAGATGCCAAGGCTCTCTCCAAGATTCAGAACGGAGTCACTTCAGACATTTTTCCAAGAATCACAAGAGCTAAAACATCAAAAGAAGCCTGGGATACATTAGAAAAGGAGTTTCAAGGTGACAGCAAGGCCATAACAATCAAGCTACAGACTTTGCGCAGGGAGTTCTATAATCTAAAGATGAAAGAATCTAAATGCATCCAAGATTATGCCTCCAGACTAGCTGAACTTGTGAATCAAATGAGAACACTTGGTGAGGAGATCTCTGACCGGAGGGTTGTTGAAAAAATATTGATCAGCTTGCCTGAAAAATATGATCCCATTGTTGCTGCTATCGAAGAGTGCAAGGACATCACCACCTTATCAATTGAACAATTGATGGGTTCTTTAAAGTCTCACGAGTAGAGAAGGTTGACACGAAATGATCAATCTGTTGAGAGTGCTTTCCAATCAAAACTAAGTTTCAAATCTCAAAAGTCCTCCAAGAAAGGCAATTCTAGAGATGACCAGCGAACGGGGGAGCAAAGAAGGTGGAAGAAAGGAGAATCCAGCAAAAGAGATGAATCCAAGAATTGGAAAAGTATGAATTCTGAAGATAATCAGCCTTCCTGCAGGATTTGTAACAGAACAAATCATGATACGTCAAATTGTTGGAACCGTGGAAAGCCAAAGTGCCATAATTGCAACAAATTTGGGCACGTTGAGAAGAACTACGGATTCAAGAAAGCAAACCAAGCAAATTTTTCTGAAAGCAAGAATGATGATGATGGAAATGAAAACTTGTTCTCTACTTGTTTATCTGCCCTTGAGGAAAAAGAAAGCATCTGGTATCTTGACAGTAGATGCAGCAACCACATGTCAGGAAATGAAAATATTTTTCTTGATGTGGATACTTTAACTACTCCAAATATCAAAATGGGTAATGGTGCTATTGTGGAGGCAAAAGGAAAAAGAAGAATTGCTGTCAAAACTAAGAAGGGGGTGAAGCAGATTCATGATGTCTTGCTTGTTCCAAAACTAAGTCAAAATTTGTTAGTGTTGGACAACTTGTGAAGAATGGCTATCGTCTTGTTTTTCAAGATGGTGCATGCATCATTTATGATAACAATGCAGTTGAGATGGTGATTGCAAAGGTGAAAATGGAGAGGAATAGAAATTTCCCCATTGAATTTCAATATGCTGAAGTTGTTGCCATGAAAGCTGATGTTGTGCAGGACTCTTGGCTATGGCACAAGAGATTTTGTCATCTAAACTTCCAGGGGCTGAAGCTACTCCAGAAGAATAGTATGGTGAACGGGCTGCCGGAAATTAAAGAAACAACAAATGTATGTGAAGGGTGCATTATGGGCAAGCAACACCGTAATTCTTTTCCTCGACAAAGCACGTGGCGAGCAAAAGCACCACTGGAAGTGACAGAGGAGGTGAGTATACCTCTCAAGAATTTGAAGATTATTGCAAAGATGAAGGAATTTGGAAGCAATTGATAGCAAGCTATAGTCCCTAACAAAATGGGATCGCAGAGAGAAAAAATCGAACAGTTGTTGAGATGGCTACTTCAATGATGAATGAGAAAGGACTACCTAAACGTTTTTGGGCAGAAGCTGTATTTATAGCAGTGTATGTTCTCAACAGAAGTCCAACTAAAGTTGTCAAGAACAAGACTCCTGTTGAGGCCCAAAAATTCAGGATTGGGCCCAAATAAATTCTTGGCCCAACATAATGCCTTATTAAGAAAAAGACTTGGTTCGGAGGATGCAAAATTCCTCATTCATGCTTACACAAGCCACGACCACATGCCATGCCAAATAAATATGCAATCTCTCATGCTAAGAGTTGAAATAAGCACTAACTCTACGAGCCCATGCTAATTACCGAGTCAAGCATCATGCCTCTATTCAAGGACGATAAAATTAAAACACGTCGATTGACATGCCATGCTAAGCAGGAAATTATTATTTCACACCCAAATACGCTACAAGCTTAAGTGGGCCCAAGCCACGCAAATGCCCGGGACTTGCTTGAGTGGGTTGTGGTATGGATGGTAACAAGCTTTCATGAGGCCCATTGATGAGCCAAGAAATGGAAGTTTTGGGCTGCTTGGGAGCCCTAAAACTCAAGCCCATTTCTTGAGCCCAACCACATGGGCTAGCATGAGAGAGAGAACATGACCCAATGCCTTAGAGAATACATTAGTTTGCTTAGGAAACCCTATGTTAGTTAGAGCATTCAAATACTTTGTTAAAAATGCAACAGGCAAGCTGCTTCAAGCAGCTTGACGAAAACAAGCTAACTGGTCGCTGTAGAATAGAGTATCACTGACCCAATACCATGGGTACAAGCCCAGCCCAGCAACTAGTAGAAAAGCTGTCACTGTGCTCCACCCTTGTTAGGACTCCCAGACAGTCAAACAAGGAGCCATGGCAGGAAGTAACAGAAATCCACGAGTGTAGGAAGAATACCCATCGGACAAAAGCTCTACCCATCTTTTTTTCCATTACCAGCTTCACTAGGAAAACCAAGGAAAAAAGCAAGCGGAGCCTCACCCTCATAGGGAGGTCCAGCTGCATCAAACCCTTGGAACCACAAAGGGTTCCTTACCCATGCTCCTTGGATGAGAGAATTTCACTAAGGAACATAAAGTGGAAATGAGCAATGAAAAGGGAAAGGAAAAGTTAGATGAAATTATGGTTCTTCAAGCCTATAAAAGAGAGCCTCATCTACCCAGAAAACCATCCACAGCCTAACCCATCTAGAGCTTGACCAAGCTTTGTCAAGCAACTGGAAATTCACTCAATCCACATCCAGAGAGCAAGCTTCCTCTCTTGCTTCCAAAACCCAGCAATTTCGAGCCCCATTCCTCCATGCTTCTTCTACCTAGCAAAATAACCCATCCAAGGCTTAACCACGCTTTGTCAAACAAATTGGGAATTTTACTCAAGCCACCCAATTCTCTCCTTCGTTTGTTTTCTTCTTCCCTTAGGAAAGAAATCTGTCTAATCTTCCTCTGTTCCACTTTAACCCTTTGTTCACTATAAGAAACTCACGCTTATCTCTCTCTGTTCATGCTAAACTCATGATGGTTTTGCTCCCATGCCACAAACTCCTCATGCTAAGCCATTAATCGATTTATCATGCTTATTTGGTGTTAGTGAGATGAACCTAAGAGTGTTTTTCTTAAGTCTCATCAAATTTTATAAAAACCCTTTTGGGAGCTTGGTTTCGAACTCAGGCTTTTGGGGAATTTTTGTTCGTTGTCTTCTTACGGCAGGCCAAGCCCATTCATCAGGCTGCTAGAACAAAAACACCCCTACAACTCCATTTGAAGCTTGGAGTGGTTTCAAGCCTTCGGTAAGACATCTCAAAATCTTTGGCTGTATCTGTTATGCTCATATGCTGAAAAGAGAACTAAATTTGATGATAAAAGCCAGAAATGCATCTTTGTTGGATACAGTTCCAGCACCAAAGGTTACAGACTTTATAATGTTGAAACTAAGAAGTTAATTGTGAGTAGAGATGTTGTTTTTAATGAAAAAGCAAGATGGGATTGGAATGAAAATAAAGTGCAGGAAATGCCATATGCTTTAGTGCAAGAGCAAAGGGAGATTCCAGGAGAGCATCAAGAAGAAGAAGCCACTCCTTAAACACCAGCAGGTGCCGGAAATAATTCAAACGTTGAACCTGTTTTCCCAAATTATTCTTCGTCAGAAAGTCCTCCACTAAGAACCAGAAGCTTGAATGATATTTATGAGACTTGCAACTTTTCTGGTATAGAGCCAGAGAGCTTTGAAAAAGCCCAGAAGCATGAAGTATGGGTGAAAGCAATGAAGGATGAGATAAGAATGATCGAGAAAAATCAAACTTGGGAGCTTGTGGATCTCCCAAAAGACAGAGATGTGATTGGAGTCAAATGGATTTTCAAGACAAAGTTTAATCAAGATGGAAGCATTCAAAAGCACAAAGTAAGGCTCGTGGCTAGAGGTTTTACTCAAAAGCCAGGTATTGATTTTTTTGAAACTTTTGCTCCTGTCGCAAGACTTGAAACAATTAGAACTTTGATTGCTCTTGCTGCCCAAAAGAATTGGTTGATTTATCAGCTTGATGTGAAGTCAACATTCTTGAATGAAGTGCTAGAAGAAGAGGTTTATGTTGAGCAACCCCAAGGTTTTCTTGTTGAAAGGGGAGAAGACAAAGTTTACAAGTTGAAAAAGGCTCTTTATGGGCTAAAGCAGGCACCCAGGACTTGGTATGCTGAAATTGATGAGTATTTTTCACATAGTGGTTTTCAAAAGAGCCAAAGTGAGCCCACACTTTAAATCCTAAAGAAGGTAGCTTCTATTCTTATTGTTTCACTATATGTTGATGATTTTATCTTTACGGGCAATGATGAACACTTGATCCAACAGTTCAAGAAGGATATGATGAGCACCTATGAGATGAGTTATCTGGGATTACTTCATTATTTTTTGGGAATTGAAGTTTCTCAAACTGAAAATGGGATCTTCATTTCTCAAAAGAAATATGCTGAAAATATTCTCAAGAAGTTAAATTTGCTGGGCTGCAAATCAGTGGCTACTCCTTTGATAGCAAATGAGAAAATGAGGAAGTTTGATGGTGCAAAGAAGGCAGATGCTAAGAAGTACAGAAGTTTGGTTGGTAGTTTTTTGTATCTTACGGCAACTAGACCAGATATTATGTTTGCTGCAAGTTTACTTTCACGTTATATGCAAGAGCCAAGTCAGATTCATTTTAGAGCTGAAACAAGGGTGTTGAGATACTTGCAAGGCACACTTGATTATGGAATTTTGTTTACAACAGTAGAAAAATCAAGGCTTATTGGTTACACAGACAGTGATTGGGCAAGATGTCTTGATGATATGAAGAGCACGTCAGCCTATGTTTTCTCGCTTGGTTCCGGCATATGTTCATGGGCATCAAAGAAGCAAAATGTGGTGGCACAATCTACTGCTGAAGCAGAGTACACTGCAGCAGTTAAGGCAGCATCACAAGTTGTATGGCTTAGAAGGATACTTGAAGACATTGGCGAAAAGCAAGAAGAAGGCACCAAATTATATTGTGACAACAAATCAGCCATTGTCATTGGGAAAATTCCAGTGAGTCATGATCGTACAAAGCACATTGCCATCAAGTACCATTTCATTTGAGAGTCAATTGAGAAAGATGAAGTTGCACTTGAATACTGCAGGACAGAGGAGCAGTTGGTAGACATACTCACCAAGGCACTTCCACAAGAGAAGTTTTGCTATTTAAGAGAGCTCATTCACTACTACAAAAAGTGAAAAAGACGACCAGAAAAACACGACGGTCTAAGTGAAAACCGTCGTTGTTTTTTAAAAGACGACGGTTTTATAAAACCGCCGTGAAATAACACATTAGACAACTAAAAAATGGAGTTTCAAATGGCTGTTCATAAAACACGACGTACTTAATTTAAAAACCGACGTCTTATTGAAATAGGATTTTCAAGAGGTAAAATCGAAGCCAACAAATAACGGCGGAAGTTATGAACCGACCGACGTAGAAAGTAAAGACGACGGTTTCAAAAAAAGCCGTCGTTTTTACCCGGAAATTAACACGACCAAGTTTTCGTATAAGGCGCCGTATAATTACAAATAAATCCACGGCGGTAAAATACAAAATACCGCCGTATTAAATTAATGTACAACTACGGCAAAGGTAAATATAACGACGTCTTTCTCGTATTTCTACGACGACATCTTTAATTCTTACCAAGTTGGGGTTTTCATATAACGACGTATTATATAATTTAACGTCGTATTTGTCCACTTTATACGTCATACATTATATTTAAACCGTCGTCTGAATAAGAATTGTTTTTAACAATTTATTTCTTGGATTTTGTTATCCTACGTCGGTAGATCTACTTAACGACAAGAATTGAAATAACCACGACGGTTTATATAGAAAACCGCCGACATAATCAGATTATTCTGAGATCACAAGGGTTAGGAAATCTTACAAGATGGAACTCTGTTGCTCATCATAATCTTACCAGAA